AAAACGTCAGCAATTGGCTTATCATCGTTAAGCAAACAACCGGATTAGCTTATGTGGTAAACCTTCCTGTCTGTATTCGGGACATACCAGGATCGATTCTAAAAGTTACTTTGTTTTCCTCAGTACCCTGAAGGAGAACATACCCTGCGATTAGCACCACAGTCCTGGCCGCCAATTTAAACTCATCTGACAAGCCTCTGTAGTTGATACAGCGTCATTAAATGTGACGCAACCGGCCGCAAGAACCAATGAGGAACAAATTTATTACAGTATGGCAATTCTGCTTGAACTTCGGTGGGAGAGTCCGCTGAAGAATGGTGTACTCCTTCACGCAGAGGTACTATTAGAGTATCCATGCCTGTAAATCTCGTTCGTATTGCAGACGAACTACTTTGGAGCTGAATAAGGGCGTTGATATGGCATTTAAAGTCTGAAATTGCCTTCCGAAACGGTCAGTGGATGTCGTAACATTTTAGTGGACCTCTTCCCCTCCCCTCCGCGCCTGATGTATCGCCGGCAGCCGATGTTATACTCAAGTGCCTCGCCGCCCCTAAGCTTTGTCCTTTTTAAGATAAAACCGGAGCCGCCATGACCGACGGGGGTCATCGCTACTTCGCCCCCACCCGCCATATCAACTACATCCCTGGGGGGAAAAGCGAAATGTACATTTATACGTGACTGTTTTGTGTAGGTTCTCCGAGAAACTAATCTGTTATCTTCTCTTGAATAGTAGCCAATACAATTACACATTAATTACCATTATCATTATTACTATTATCGATTTGTCTGGGAAGTTTTGGGTTCTAATCTCGACTCACAGATCCACTAAACAAGAGGAGGTTTATAGTTGGCGGAGGTACGTACTAAATGCAGTCAGAAAAACTTCCAAGACGCAAAAGTCTGGTTGATCAACGCCATCTGCAATTCTATGTCGTGGAACAGTCCGTCACTTCACACGTCCTGGTACAGTGTCCTAACTATGGCCTATGGCACGATCAATTTCTTAGAAGTACTTTCGAATTCACAAGTCAAGTCGTGTTACAACCTGAAATCTTATTGAACAAGACATTGCCCATAAGAAATAAGTTACTTCTCGAAAGGAAATGACGATGATAAGGCAAGATAACGTGTGTACATAAACTTAGTGTCGATGTCTGAATTTTGTCCGTCTTAACTTCGAGTCTCCGGAACATTTGAACTTTAAGAAAGCCGGCAGTGGTACTGTGAGGAGATCCTAGAAATGCTTGCATTTCATATATAATTTTTTTACTGCCAAAAAATCTTATCACGAGCCTGACAACTCCATACGCATAACTGAATATCATAGAAAAGAATTATTCTTAAATCCAGCGTCGTCACCCAGGCTAGAACCCAGGGCAGATTTTTGGGGTTTTAAACTTTGTTCCCACCGAAAGAAGCCCTCTGGTCGGTTCTTCCGTCGTGCTCACATTACGAGCAACATGAAATGCCTTCGCCGGGAATCGAACCGAGAATACATTTTCAGGAGTTTCGACCCACGTGTGTTGTCTTGCGGTCTCAAGGAATAAGCATACGAAGTTTGGTAAAAATTATCCCTTCACGATGGACAGCGACCATGCCAACATACGTAGAGTTATATAAACTTGGGTACTGGACACAGGGGTTCCCCACACCCAGTAATTTTGTTTCTTGTTTTCGTGGATAAAGATTATTGCCATGGCCGACTATTATGACTAAAGCTTATCGTGAGTTTACTCAGCCCACAGAGATAATGTGAAATCAAATACATATATAAATTCAGACAAATGCCGACCAATTAGCAAACCACATTCACTGATCTGTACAGACGTTAAGGAATCTGTGTAGGTCCCTTTAACTCTGTCGCTTTCAACTCGAACGGCTTACTCATCGCCCTGATGATGGAGGCAGCAAGGACCTCCGAAACGTCGGTAAACTTCTACCACGGCCAATAACCCAGAAGACAGACATCTTCGTTAAGGAAACTCTTCAATTGACAGAATTCGATCACGACTCTTCGGTGATTTGTTTAAACTAACCACTGTCAAATTTCTTGAAACTTTAGTATCAGCAAACTTATTTTCTCTCGGTGTTTGAACTGAATTTGCTCCGAGTGTAAGTCATTTTAGATTTAAGCTGAACAGAGAAGTTTATCATAACCGATTTTAGGCTCGTATATGGGTGAATAAACATTACATGGGGAAATCATATATTAAAGACTTTTTCAAAGATGGTAGGGACTTAAGAGACGTCATAAAGTTTTCGGATGTAAAGATTCTCATTCATTTAATGGGTGCATTAACCGCTCGTTTATGGAGTTCCATAATTGGAAACGGCGTTGTGAATTTTGAGTTGTTCATAAAATCGAGTGGCTTCATTAAAGCGTATACTTTCATGACTCTTTTATATTTTATTTTTATTAAGGCGCCATATCCTTCAGGTCAAGGAAAACGAACACAGTTTACTGGCAATGAATCATAAAATTATACGCGTCTCTTAATTGATTCGATAAAAATGTCACGTGACCTAATTAGCTGAAAGATTCATTCACTTCAGTCGGTACTGCAAGGGACACATACGTCCACCTATGATCATTAGATTCATTTTCAGTCGCCACTGGTAGAATGTTAGTACTTGGATGGATTAATACAATAACACGTCTAGTATGTAGAGTGTGATACAAGAACTTTGTGACAGCCATTACATGTTTCAAGTGAATTAACTTTAAATGCAGAATAGTTTAGAATTATTAGGTAAAATATTTTCATGATTAAATGAAATAAAACACATTATATTATTTTTCTGCAACAAATAACTAATTCATTTCATATCGTAGTAATTACGGATTTAAAAATGTCGATTCTTTATTCTTTGTTTACGAAATTTATCGTGTTAAATGGCACACGGTAACTGATTTAACATTTCATTAGTGCTTTATAGGGTTTAATACGTAATAAATTTCATAAAAGAGAATGACTGTTCTTAATTTTATGATTGTCCAATATTATAATAAATAATGGTGATTTTTCAGGAAACCGGAAACCAGTCAGATTTTTTTACACTGAAATTAATGGGAATTCCGTTTCGATTTAGGGATTTTTTTTACGTTGCGAACATTTTTAATCGAACAAAATTACGTTCGTAAATCGAGGGATGGATGTCTAATGCAAATATTCTTAGCCCTCTTCTGGTTCGTTATTACGTGATGTGTTCACGCACGCACACATCCGAGTTCTATTAACACACCTTTACGTGGGTGAGAACTGTAATGCATTTTACTCCGGGTACGTTCCAGTAGCGAGCTTTTGTACACACGACGATGAACAATCCAACGATCAGCTAAATAAGGAAGACATTATTCAAGTACGATATTAAGAAGGCAAAGATGAATATTCTTCGTGCAATTTTTAAGTGTAGTTTTAAATCATAAACTCAAGTTCCCAGCTTTAATGGTACAGCATATGATTTTGTGCCACACATGAGGTATGTGGCTATTACATGTTATTTAATGATGCCGTATGAACTGCCAAGGATATTTATCCTGAGTAAACAATAGATAGATGAAATTACAGTATAATGGGTGGGATTCCCGGTTTGATTTACGACAGTTTCGTATGAGAAACGACAGGATGAACTTGAAGTATGTGGAAGGACACGACAGTGAATAATATTCAGCATGTATCGGGTGGCAGTGTTTCAATGTGCGTTTGGTAGTTGTAAGCCTTTGGTCGTCAGAGACTTTTAATGAATTTCCTCAACAGCGTAGGAAAATTCAGGGTGAATATTTTTTTTTTAAATATCCCACAACCCCTTCCTTGCATATTCTTAAAAGAACCCTTTAAAGTCTAAGCTCGTCTGAATAATAAATGAAGATTCAGTCCGTACCGCAAAGGAAACGCATCACTTCACCGTTAGAAATATCAACTGCTTAATCGCATGATTCACAGTCGCAGATCAATCGAATAACAAATCCAGATCAATATATATCGCTCCGCCCGTATTATTAAGTAACAGCGAATGCTCGTAAAATGTTTACGCTGCACTCCAGAATGATTTGAAAACATGGTGAATGCTCTGTTTTGCCTTCTAATATCCACAGCTCTGAAAGCGAGACTACAATTCCCCCTCTGAGCTGAAATGTCTAATTATTGCGCACTTTGGGGCGTGATCTCTCTTTTTTTTATAGCATCGCGAAATATCACGGTCGTCGGAAATATGAACCTCTGATGGCATTAAGAACCGAAGGGAAATGTTTATTATAAAGGTTGAAATAAAAAAAAAGTGTACCGTGCAGATGAGTAACCGCTCGGAACAACACTTTGCTTTGCAGTCGACAGTTTCCTTTGGATCCTGCGGAGTTTCTACCGCGTCACAGAAGCGCGGGCCACGCTTCGAAACCCGAAAGCACGCTATTTTACGCGTTTCGTAATTTATCAATAACAGGGTTTTAAAAAACTTGATGTCGGTCTTCTGGGTAGGATCGCCATGTCGACTTGTAGGCAGAAAGGCCTTCCAGCGATTCAGAGGAACATACTACCTTCATCATCAGGGCTGAGGCCTGATATTTATCAACGAAGTAGGATTTGAGGTTCTTACGGTGTCAGTCTGAAGATGGCTGTCTTCTGGGTTGTAGTCTGGTAAAAGTTTATTTATCGCCCTGATGATGGAGGCAGCAAGAACCTCTGAAACGTTGGTAAACTTCTGCCAGACTACACGGAGCTACAACCCAGCACTGACAGAGGCAATGTGACGAAATGTAATAACCTAACCTAACCTAACATAACATAACCTTACCTAACCTAACCTAAACTAACCTAACCTTACCTAACCTAACCTAACCTAACCTAACCTAAGCTAACCTAACCTTACCTAACCTAACATAACCTAACCTAACCTAACCTAAACTAACCTAACCTTACCTAACCTAACCTAACCTAACCTAACCTAAGCTAACCTAACCTTACCTAACCTAACATAACCTAACCTAACCTAACGCAGCTTACCTGAGATAAGTCTCGTGCCAACATTTTCCCAGCTCGTCCCGTTGGAGTAGAGCGTCCCTGGGCTCAGTGACGACAGTCGGTTGTCCCTGAGGTCTAAAGACAAGTGAGGGATTTTTTCCAGCTTTGCGAATAATCCTGCAGGAAGTTCCTCGATCTGCGTCCCTCTTATCTGCAGCACCATCTCGTAGTTTTCCTCGATGCCTTCGAAAGCTTCAGCGTCAATGTTCCTTAGTTCGTTTCCCGTGATCTCCACGTGCCTCAGCCGCGGAGTGAACGCCCCCGTCAACTGGTCCGTCAGCGATGACTCCAGTACTCGAACGGAAAGCTTACGTAATGACGGTATATTGGATAACGCGCTACCGAGACGAAATCGATATTTCTCGATTTTAGGCCACGTTTGAATTCGTAATGATGTCAGAAGACGGAGTCTGGTCAAAGTATCCGCGTCGAATCTCTCCAGTGGTAAATCCTGGATGGTTAGAGACTGCAGGCGGATCAGTGCCGAGAAGCTTTCCTTCGTAATAATCTGTGAATGAAATGATTTCATGTGAGAAATATATACGACATTCAAAATTATTACGATGACGACGCCAAAAACTTTATTCATACTCGCTAAATTCGTTGATGTATGCAACATTTATGAGCTGTATATATATATCTTTTGCTATCAGATTAAAGGTTAATATATTTCATAAGTTTGAACAACATAGTATTAAAACTTTCTAATTTCATATACGAACTGTTTAATTATTTATTTTTTGCAATACACATAACACAATGTACTTTGTGGATCCTGTCGTAGCTCTAACCTTCAGATTCGCAGGAAATATAGCCCTAACTCACGAATAATCTCGGCCTTCAAAGTGCAAAGTCGTCCTTACGCTTGGCAGGTGTCTCATGTAAATAGTATTTATATTTAAGATTGAGACTTGATACAATTGTAAATTTTGTAGATTTTATCCTGTGTCATAGACGTGTGTCTTTGTTCTTATGACAAAATAACCCTGGAAGATGACTGATACCCACCCACAAGACTACGTCAGCTCGTGCGAAAATTCAGTCGCCTATGCTGTATGAAACGCTTTTTAATGTTTTTGTACAGAAGAATTTGAGAGATGAAGAGAGGAAATTTGGAAGAGAAGCTGGAGCACGCATTACCTTGATGTTGTTCTTCGAGACGTCCAGCGTCTTGAGCAGCGGCATGTGGGACCAGGCCTGAGAGGGTACGGACGTGAAACAGTTACCATTCAAATACAGAGTCCTGAGTCGCTCCAGCCCGCCGACGGCAGACACCGGCATCTCATCGATGGAGTTGGAGGACAAGTTGAGGGTCACTAGGTTTGGGAGTGGCAGGTTCGGCGTGACCTTGAGTCCCGTGTCCGCTAGGCTTAGCCGCCTGAGCTTTTGCACGTAGTGAAACAACTCTTTGAAGTTTGCTCTCAGGGAATTGCTGCTGAGGTCAAGTTTGAGCAGACCGCCAAGACTCGTGAACACGTTGTCCGGGAGGATCGTGAGTTTGTTGTGCGCAAGGTTAAGCCCCAGTAAGTACGGCGTGTCAGGAAACATCGTGCTGTCCAAGTGCTCCACGTGGTTGTAAGACATGTCCAGGTGCCTCAACGTGAACCCCACCTCAGCCAAAGCACTACTTGGCATCACAACAAATTCGTTATTGGAGAGGTCTAACCTCTCGAGTTTCGTGTTCTGAAACGCATCGCGAGGTAGTGACCGGACGTGATTATGCGATAAGTCAATTATCCGGAGGTTTTCCAAATTTGAGAACTGTTCAATTTGTAATTGTTCGATATGATTATGCGACAAGTCTAACACCTGAAGAGCTTCGACGCCCTCGAATGCTTTCTTCCTGAGGTTTACGATGCTGTTATGTTCAAGAGTGAGCACTTCTAGCAGCTCTAGGTTCCCAAATGCTTCCGGATCTAGGTGACCAATGCTGTTGTAACCCATGTGGAGTCGTCGTAGAGAATCGGAGAAGCTCTGTAAGAAGTTGACAGGTACTTCTAGAACCCTGTTGTGACTCATATCCAGTGTCTTGACGTGCAAGGGGGAACCTGTGTCTCCTACGAAGAGAGACGATATCTGGTTCCTCGAGATGTTTATGGTCATAGGCATGAAGAACCCGGTCACATTCAGGAAGGCGCTCAAGGAAAACTCCTTCAGCTCGTTGTTTTGCAAATCCAACTTTATCAAATTTGGTAACTCTGTGAATGTCCTAGGCTCAAGAGAGTTTATTTTGTTGTCCGATATTACCAGGGTGACAAGGTTAGGCAAACCACTAAACGCTCCCACCTTCACGGTCCTGATTCTGTTTCCAGATAGAACGACGGTCCGTAACTCTCGAAGGGAGGCAAATGTTTCAGAAGACAGGACTTGCAGGTGGTTGTACGACAACCTAACGTCGTGAAGATTTTTGTGCACGTTGGGATGAAACACTCCGGGCGGTAGATACTCCAATCGATTCGCATCCAAATTAAAATACTGAAGTTGGCCGAACGTGTACAATGCTGTTGGCGAAATTGTACGAATATTATTGTTGTCTAACGCCAACCAAAGAAGGGATTTCAGCGGTTTGAGAAAGTCTTCAGGGAAGTCCTCCCTATACATCCCAAAACTCACTTCAAGATTTTCCAGGCTGCCGGCGACGTCTGAGAAGGCATCGGGATCGACATCACTCAGTTTATTAAAAGACAGGCTTAGTTCTCGCAGTCGTGGAGTCGCCCGGAACACATGTGCGTCCAGACGAGCGATTCTATTATTTCGCAGGAGTAAAGTGTCTAATGAACCACCCCATCTTGAGAAATCTTCCTCTTCGACTTCATAAATTTGATTATAACCAACATTTAGATGTGACAGCTTCTTGCAGTCTCTGAGAGCTTCTCTTGGAATCTTATTTAATTGGTTTCCTGACAATGACAGAGCTCTTAAAGACCCCGAGAAACTCTCAAAAGCATCGTCTGATACTTCGCTAATTTTGTTGGACGGGATATAAAGAAACCTCAGTCTCTTCAGCTGACTGAGGGCTTTCGGAATTCTTTGCAGGTTGTTTTGCTCCAAGTCAAGAAAATCCAGAATGTGACCAATCCCTACAAATGCCCTGTCATCCATTCCTTCCAGCTTGTTCATGGACAAATATATTCTGCTGGGACTAAGGCCCCGAAAGACTTGTGCTGGGAGCGTCTTCAGCTGGTTGAAATCGAGGTTCAGGTCTCGGACGGTCAGCGTGTTGTTGAAGACGTTGTGAGGTATTGCCTGGATGGAGTTTTCGCCTAGGTCCAGTTTGTCGAGTTTCTTGTGATGTTTGAAAGTGTATTCGGGGAGCTCTTCCAGGAAGTTTCCTCGAAGGTACAGCCACGCTAGTCCTTGAAGATTGTCCAGCGCCTCGGCTGGGAACCTCGAGATGAGGTTGTGGGACGCGCTCAGAGTTTGGAGTGCCTCTGGTAACGAGCCAGGTTCAAGTGTCATCACCTGGAACATCGCAGAAACACGGAGCGTGACCAGTTATGAAAGTTTCAGGGCATTTTATTACCGGAAATATTCTAAGTCTACGAGTAGACCACATAAAATGTTCATGAAACAACAGTAGAATTAAACTGATTTATTATACTTCTAAAATAGCTATTATCCGGCTTTAAATATTTAAGTACACACAGAACAAAAAAAACGGGACAACATAAACGAACATTTGAAAGTGTACATGAATAAATAATATATTTAAGTACACACAGAACAAAAAAACCTGACAACATAAACGAACATTTGAAAGCGTACATGAATAAATAACGCCGATCGGTAACATTGAACCGAAAATACGCGACATTATTTATAATAGGCGCCCTCCACAAGTATTTGTTGACTTTATTTAACATTGAACCGAAAATACGCGACATTGTTTATAATAGGCGCCCTACACAAGTATTTGTTGACTTTATAATGAATAAACATTTATTTAGACATCATAATATTGGTTTTAGAGTAAATCACATTCACCCATCTAATGTGACACAGTGTCGTAACTGTCAGTGGCGTATAAAGAATGACTGTACTCCTGAAGTTGAACTATTTATAAGGAAATCATAATTGTATCTCTCTGCCAATATCATAAGGGCGATGCCAACAGAAATATGAGATGGGCTGGAGATGCAGCTTACATGGGAGAGTTGAGAAATGCAGACAAATTTCTGGTTCAAAAATCTGAAGAGAGGAGACCAGTTAGAATCCGTAGATGGCAGGATAATATATTCACGGATCGTTAAGAAATGGATCGAAATGGATTCACCCCGCTTGGAACTAGGGGTGAGGGGCATTGCCTGCCGTTGTCCCCAGGGGGCGCAGTATTTTGGGAGTGGCCCCGCTGCTGGTGAAGCGAGCCCCTCGGACCTCCTAAGAGCTGGATGGTCTAACCTGAGACGGAAGGGGTGCAGAAGTGTACGAACCAGCAACAGCAAGGCCAATTGGCGAGGTATCAGTAAGAACAGGAAAAATAATACAAACTTTTACGAACCAGCAACAGCAAGGCCAATTGACGAGGCGGGGGTGGAGGGGTAAGGTTAAGGGTAGCAAGCAACAAGAATATGAGTAGGGGTAGGAAAAATAATACAAACTTCGTAGGAAAAAACGCGACCTATTGACCGGCAGACATACACACGTGACGGAGCATGAAGAACAGTGAGACAGCAACAGTGTTGGGTTAAAGACCATGAACATCGGATGTGAAAGGCTTAAACATGTATTAAAAAGAGACCGTGGAGAAGCTTTTGTTGTCTTGTTTAATCCGAAGGCGCGGATAAGTCTGCCGAGCGGAGACGGATGAAAATGGATAAAACGGAGAGAGATAGAGAGAGATTGATAGGACGTCTCCTGAAAATCGTAAATTTAAGAGAACCAGGGGCTCAGCCGACCCATTAAAATATTTAAGTCTTTCCAAGACGGATGAGAACACGTGTGACGTCACTTCACTAGTTTCCTGAAATGGAAACAAAGAAACAAAACTGCAGCTAGGGTTGCCTTCTTCAGTGACAGATTCGCGTTTTGTTGGTAGCGAATAATACGCTGGAAGGAACGTAGTGGCGCGTTCTGTGAGGTTTGCGGTACCAAACCGTGGAGTGGATAAACTACAAAAAACTTTTGTTTGTTTGCATTTGGAGTCCACGTTGTCACCACAGTGGGTCTACGAGTGACGGTGATTCAGCATAAGGTGTAATGCGCGGCCTTTTTTGAACACTGCAATGAACATTTTCCCACGTCATAGGACCATCGTCTTTCCGAAACTTTCACTGGGCCATATCCTCACGTACTTCAATCCAGGTGACCAGATTGCAATGTATTTTCGTACGGTCCAGTGCAAGTTTTTCGCCTTACGTCTCTATTAAAGTTCCTGAAATGCACGTCTTAAAGAAACGACGTGATTCCGCCTCCCGAGACAAAGAACTTGATTTTAGCTTTTTAATTACACTTTGGTGTGAAAACTGTCTGCTGGAATTACGGACTAATATAATTTCAAAATTCAGATAATTATCTACTGCATAGGAATTTCCTTTTTGGCAAATAATTTAACATCTTTAGTTTCATTCAAGCTGTGAGCGGGAATGGACGAACAAGTTTAACGCAAAGAAATTATTGCTTTTATCAAGAATCATGATTACGCGATTCCAACACCAGACGTTTCCATGAAATCGTTTTATTCCGATTTCAGGACAACGTTTTTTAAATCCTCTGTAACATGACCTTGCTTCTGACATCACTTCCGGTGCGGCTCTGAGCCAGGCGAGCACGCTACCGTCGAACATGTGCGTCCCAGACACTCTGTATATCGTACCTTATTGTTGTCGAGGTTCAACCAGGTGAGCATTCGGCATTCGGCGAGTGAGGCGCCGGATCCATTTCCCTCCTCCGTGCGGCCTCCGTTTCCGTTCCAGTTGTGGTGTTTGTTGTTGTTGTTATTGTTATTGTTGTCTCCGTTTCCGTTCTTGGTCTTCTCCTTCGGGAGCTCCGTGAGGTCGTTATCCCCAAGGAACATGTTGGTCAGCGTCTCCCGCATGATGGACCAATCCCCCTCGCCATCGACGGTCGTGAGTGACGAAATCTGATTGCTGTAACGTGGGAAAAAGGGGCTCAGTCCCTTTCGTCCAATCAGCAAATCGTTCTTATCTACCGGAGGCGTCACCTCAATTCCGGAGACGGTAAACTTCCCGTAATGCAATCAGTCAGATATGCAGAGCGGAGGAACACGAGATCGTTCGACACTACAAACGATAACTTCTAGAAGAGCCAATGACAATTCCTCTTGGTTCCGACAGCCACGAGGACGCACCGACGTAAATGAGAGCGTTGCAAAGTCTTTGCCTTCACAGAGCTTGCTACATTACACGCATAAAGTATGAAAAGTGATGTAAGACGCTTCTCGCCTCCTAGTAAAGACTCGTCTTACAAAACATTTTGCGATGGAAATGAACTGTCTGGAGTGGAGACCTTCATGAGAACCTAACAGTAGCTCAGGC